TGTTTTGTGGGTAAAAATGTTGTGGGTGAAACTGCTGATTTGCCACAGTTGACAAGATGCATCTGCAAATATCATTCTGCAAAGTTTGAGATTGTGTTAGTTGGCAAGAGGGAGGTCATTTTATGCTGTGGTCCATTTTAAGCTGCTTGAAACCATGATGACATTTTATACTCCTTTCCGCTCGAGCTATTTAAAGCGAGGACACATTTCTGCTTCAAACTTCCTGTGTTTTGACCTGCTGTCATTTACTATTGTAGCTGGAGAAGTGACTTGAATGACTTGGTATGGCATTGCTGCTTTTATTTTCTTCTATTACTTTGTTTCTTCTTTTTGTTGCACATTATCTCATAACTATTCTATAAAACTATTTGTTTGACTCAGTAAATTTGACTGTATGATAGATTGTAAAATGTTTACATAGTGGAGTCCTGTAGTGTAGATTAATGGTTGGAGCAGTCCGGGACAGGGCAAAACATTGGGCAAGTTTCCTTACTCCACAAGCCTATGTTTGCCTAGCAGTTAGTAGGAACCCGGGTATTAGTCGCGTGGCGGATCACTTTTCCATCATAGAATCATAGAATTATACAGCACAAAAGGAGCCCATTTGGCCCATCATGTCTGTGCCAGCTCTTTTAAAAGAGCTACCCAAGTGAATACCACTCCCCTGCTTTCTCCCCATAGCCTGCAAACTTGTCCTCCCCAAATACTTATTTACTTCTCTACTTGCCCACAAAATATACAGTCAATTCACTTTACAGTATATTCTGTGCAGCTCTTTGAGACATCTCGAAGCCGTGATAAGGCGCTATATCAACTGCAAGGATTATTATTATCATTATAAGTGGAAGCTTCCAGTTAAAGTCAATCTTCGTTTAGTTGAAGTACTTGATTTGTATTTAAATATATATTCACTGTGTAAACCAGAATACAAAATCCCAGGGCTGTTATGTTATCATCTTAAAATTCTGACAATGTATAAGGTGAACTCTGACTTGCCTTTGTTAACAATTCAGTTGAACATTTTCACTTGTAGTGTAGTTATCTCTATATACAGACCTTACATTTGTCTAAAAACAAGTGGATTTTTTTTAATTGTCTAGGACAAAATAGTTGAGTTGCTCTGTGTTGGAATGGAAGGTAGGGTAGTCATATTTTATCAATCAAATCCGGGAACACATAGAAAAAAATTGAACTCATCACGTTTGCTGTTGTTAGCAATTGCTGCGGAAGCATGTTAGATTAATGACTGTGTTTCTCTGATGAGTTTGTACTTCTGTTCACTTTACAGTTAATTCACTTTACAGTATATTCTGTGAAGCACATTGAGATGTCTCGAAGACGTGATAAGACGCTATATCAAATGCAAGGATTATTATTATATTATTACATAAAATAGTCACGCGAACTGCATGCGGCCATTCCTACCCTTAAGATTCAGATTAATTTAGCAAAGGTTCAGTCTCCACTTACAGGCTTGCAATGAGGCACTTGAATGTGAGCCGAACTGCAGCAGAATTTAGAGCCAGTGGGTTGAGAATTGAGGCCCACAGATAGCTTGTAGTTGCAGGTTTGCAGGGGTCACAGAAGAAAGGAGATGGGCAGCAACTTGATTGCTTGACCCTGCACTCAGGGATTCCTATGCTATTGCACCCTGGAAAAACAGAAATGTTTAATATTTGCATCGCTCGCCTGCAGAGTGTATGAAAAATACCAGTGTTTTTTTCTTTAAAAGAGGGATGCTATCACAGGAAGAGGGTGCGTGCTTAATTACAATGTGGAAACCAATAGATAAGATAGCCGGCAAAAAAACCTGGGAAACCTCGATCTGTATACTCTCCGGAATTAGGTAAGCAGGATGCATCCCACCAGGGAGTGAAACAGAAGTTGTGCATTTTTACTTTGTCCTCAGATTCTTGTCCATTTCATTGAAGCTAGTATGCTTAGTGTAGGAACGCCAATGTGTGCTGCACTCAGTGTTGATCAACAACAGAATAGAAAATCTTGCGCTGTTATCTGGGTGCAATTTAGTGTTGCCTTGGTGATGGACTGCAGCAATTATCCCTCTGCAAACTCTGGGTCATCGAGCATTGGCTCTTGCCAGCCTGTGCCTAATACTCTCTGGAATTAAGTAAGCTGGATGCATCCCTCCAGGGAGAGAGTGCGCAATCCATTCCAACAATCTATCTCTGGGATTTCCATGTCTAGGTGGGATGATTGAAAATCCCTGCTTGCCTTGGATACCTTTAAGCATGGTGATGGGTTTCTGCATGTGTTAGACACCCGGCTGGGGAAAAGAAATTGAGTGGAACTCAAGCCACTATCATGCTCCCTTTTAAAACTTAAACTTTTGCAAAGAATTATTTTATCATACTTGTTTCTGACTTTCTGTCAGAAATTGGCTGTGATCTAACTTACTGGGGCAAGTGGCTTGCAGGAAGTATCAAGTCTGTATGAGTGTGTGTGTGTGTGTGAGAGAGAAGTTTTAGTGTTTAGAGCACTCGCCTCGTAAGTGAGAGAACCTGGAAACGTTGGTGAAACGTTGGGCAAGTGAAACGTTGGGCAAGTTTCCTTACACCATGTGCCTCTGCTTACATCAGTAAGTAGGAACCCGGTTGTTAGTCGATTGGCGGATCACTTTTCCAGGGGTTCCTTAAAAAAAAATTTGGTCACTCAAAACCATAACTGTTTGTGGGACACTGTTGTGCACAATTGGCTGCCGCGTTTCATACACAAAATATACAGTCAATTCACTTTACAAGATATTCTGTGAAGCGCTTTGAGATGTCTAGAAGACGTGATAAGGCACTATATCAAATGCAGCTATATTATTATTATTGGCCTTCCCTCAGAAAATACTTCAGTTGGTGATATTCAGTTGTGGGACTTCGCTATTTACTCCTAAATTTATAACTTTTAAATTGTCAGTCACTTGGTTAGATTTTTAGTTCCTGATCTCTGATCCATCATACATAAGAGCATAAGAAATAGGCCCCTCGAGCCTGCCCCGCATTTAATAAGATCCTAGCTGATCTTCTAATCTAATTCCATTTACCCACCCTATCCCCATATACTGGAGTCACTTCGAGTCTTTAGGGTCTGATTTGTGAAGGTTTGCACAATGTGTTCTAAGGCCAATTCTGTGGAACTGTACTTACCGACCAGATGACAATATCAGCGCTACCTTCTGTGAATAAAACGCAAAATACTGCAGAAGCTGGAAATCTGAAACAAAAACATCGCTGGATACACTCAGCAGGTCAGGCAGCATCTATGAAGAAAGGAAAGTGAGTCAACGTTTTGGGTCCACGACCCTTCGTCAGAACCTTTTAGAACAAAAGTCACATCGAAGAGAAGAGCAAAAACTTCTTAAGGTTCATTCCTAGAAGAGAAGGGTCCTTCCTCTATTGCTGCCTGGTCTGCTGAGTTTTCCCAGCAATCTCTGATTTTGTTCTACCTTCTGTGAAGCCTGGTTGCAACCACAATAATAATAATGCCCCTTGAGTTTTATCGAGTTCCTTTCATGCTGGGAGGACAACTCAACGCACTTCGCAAGATATACTGAAAAGTGAAGTGATTATTTTGTGGGCGAATATGACAGCCGATTTGTGCAGAGCAATGGAAGGCTGTTAGACATCTGCACAGAATTAGAGGATCAGCCTAAGAAATGCCCTTGTAACTGTAGGATTTGCTCTATACAAGTCCTTTGGAGAGTCTCACAAATAATAATAATCGTTGCTTTTGATATAGCACCTTATCACATCTTTGAGACATCTCAAAGCGCTTTACAGGCAAATGCTCTAACCACAAAGTTATAGGACTCCATAATCATAAGAGTGCTTTGTTGCATAGCATAGGATGAACTAATCCTCACACTTAATGTGTCACCCTGTGTCATTTATGGTCTGAAAAGGTGGGAGAGGTTACACGCAGCGCCTTTGGCTGCATGCAGTTGTGACCAGATAAATCCCATTAGCTGCTGACCACACCCTCAGCAAATTTGTAGGCAGCCCTGTGGAACTGAAAGATATCCTAGAATTTCAAACCCTAAAAATAAAAGCAAACATGAGGCCTTGAATAAGTTATGGACATGTTTCCTCACTGGGTTGACTGGTGTAAAGACTGCAGTCACTTGGTTAGATGTGGGTGACATCATGTTTTCATACCCAAATAAGGCACGTGATGGAAGCTCATTAACAGCAGCTAATTGATTCATGTTGCACTACTTGACCCTGCTGGTGCTTTAATGTAAACTCCTTGGGGACATCATCCAAATTGGGTGAGTGTTCCATTTGTCAGTCTGGACACTGCATTAAATGGGATGAATTCCCAGAGAGATGACCAGAATGGCCAGTGAGAATCATCAATCCTGTAGCTCAGTGGTTAGAGCGCTCACCTCGCATGCGAGAGGTCCTGCGTTCAATTCCCGGGCAGGGCGAAACGTTAGGCAAGTTTCCTTACTCCACACGCCTCTGTTTACCTAGCAGTAAATAGGAACCCGGTTGTTAGTCGATTAGCGGATCGCTTTTCCGTGGGTAATATTCCCTTAAAAAAATAATAGTAATTTGGCCACTAAATCCACGACTGTTTGTGGCACACTGCTGTGCACAATTGGCTGCCGTGTTTCTTCCACAAAATATACAGTCAATTCACTTTACAAGATATTCTATGAAGCACTTTGAGATGTCTCGAAGATGTGATATGGCGCGATATCCAATGCAAGGATTTTTATTATTATATAAAATTTATATTTCTCAATAGTAATTCTCAAGTAACAAAAAAAAAGATATTTTATTATTTCTGAAGAAAGATTGAACTGGTATAAACGTTTTGTTCTTGTTTTAAAAACAAATTAAAAAATATACTAGAGTAAAAAAACCACAAATGCATTTACACCTCAAAACTCATAACTTCCTGTTCACAGCTTGATGCATGAAAGATCATTTTTATTTTTTCTAATGTAATTAGTATTCTGAGAGTTTTAAATTTCTTTTTAATTGCAGTCTTCCGTGTCATCTGCAACACCTAATGGCAATGGAGCAGTAAGTAGAACATTGTTCTTTCCCAATGTGTTTTGACGTAATGAGCCAAGCTGGTTTGATGTATTATTATAGCAATGTACATTGCAGTGTCTGTTTGAAAGCTTGTCTGTCTGTAGACAACAGGATGTTTCATGAAAGCCTCGCTAATTGATTTTTTTTGTGCTTTGCTGCTGTAAATCAGTAGCTCCAGACAGCTATCAGTGAGATGTTTCATATCACAGCTGGCTTCCAGTTTGTCAGCTCGCACACACCACACACACACACACCTCCCCATTATTTAATTACGTAGAGTGTTGCAAGCTGTTGGAGCTCATGTTATCTGCCTTCGCAGGTTCCGTTGCGTTTGAGAAGAAAGACGACACGAGGTAAATGCTATCTTTTAAACTTTTCACCATAAGAGGAATGTTATATGAAATATGTACCATGAATTGCTGAATTGTAAGAGGCCATAATATTGCTTAAAGGACCAGAGTACAACACAGCTTCTGTCCTGGTTACAACAATTGAAGGTCAATAATCAGTCTATTGTATTTAAAAATAACATTGGAATGTATGATGAATTCACTGCTGATCTTCCTGGTAGCAGACGTATTAAATGTGCTATTGAAGAATGTTATTTTCGGGGCCATGTGGAGGAAGGAGGGAATAATGATCAAACTGTAACGCTTTTATAGTCAGACATCAACGGCTTTCTTTGTATGAGTATCTCTTTGACCATACACAGTGAGGAGACTTGGCTGATTTTTGTTTTGTAGGTAATACAACAGCAATGAGCAGGCGAAGGATCTCCTGCAAGGACCTGGGCCATGCAGACTTCCAGGGATGGCTTTTTAAAAAGAAAGAGAGCAAGGGCTTCATTGGGCACAAATGGAAAAAGTATTGGTTTATGCTGAAAGGGTCCTCTCTCTACTGGTACCTCAATCAGACTGTGAGTACAGCTCAGCTAAATTTATTTGACGCTGTTTACATTTACGAAAAAACACACATCAAAAAATTCTTTGGATGAGGACCCGGGTTTGATACCCGGGCGGGGTGAAACCTTAGGCAAGTTTCCTTGCTCCACACACGTGCCTCTGTTTATCTAGCAGTAAATAGGAACCCGCTTGTTCGTTGATTGGCGGATTGCTTTCCAGGGTAATAATCCTTCCAAAAAAATAATAATTTGGTCATGACTGTTTGCAGGACACTGCTGTGCGCAATTGGCTGCCGCATTTCTCCCACAAAATATACAGTCAATTCACTTGACAGTGTATCCTGTGAAGCGCTTTAAGACGTTTCTATATCAAATGCAAGTATTAATATTATTAATTAGGTTGGCTTATTCTTTATAAGCCAAGGAGCAAATGTGTTTCTGTTGTGCCGTTTCATAGATAGCTCTCTCAGCTCTCCCTGTTGGATTATAAATACAGGGCTGTATAGGGGAGGGAGGAAGGGAAGAAATAAAATCAGATTGTACGATTGAATTGTGGTTAGCAAGGAGATAGCTGACCTCAGTACCACAGTAATCAAGAAAATAATAATAATGCTTGCATTTGATATCGTGCCATTTTTGTGACAGTATATTTTGTGACGTCTCAAAGCGCATCACAGAATATACTGTGAATTGACTGTATATTTTGTGGATGAATCGCGGCCGCTAATTGCGCACAGCAGTGACCCACAAACTGTCATGGATTGAGTGACCAAGTTATTATTATTTTGTTATTACTTTAAGTGATTATTATCCCCAGAAAAGTGATCCGCTAATTGACGAGCAACTGGGTTCCTACTTACTGGTAAGTAAACAGAGGCGAGTGGTGTAAGGGAACTTGTCCAATGAGATGCTATAGTTGGCCCCTAAGTTAGGAAATGGAAAATCTGTCAGAATTCCCATTTCTGATCATTATCCGAGACCTCTGTTGGATGTAAAGAGAAAACAGAAACAGTCCTAACAAAGATGCCCTCCTTCTCACACTCCCCCACCTACCCCCACCCCACTGTAATGTCACAGCCTACCCTGCCAAGACTCCCATTTGAATAGTGACCACTTGAGTGATATGAACTCACCATTCTGTAGTTTAGCTGTGGGGTCCTGCAGCTTAGTGGTTAGAGCACTCGCCTCGCAAGTGAGGACCTGGGTTCAATTCCTGCCAGGACGAAAGGTTGAGCAAGTTTTGTTACTCCACACAATAAGTAATAAGACTGCTGGATCACTTTTCCCTTCTAAAAAAGAAGAATTTGGTCACTTAATCCACGACCGCTTGTGGAACGCTGCTGTGCGCAATTAGTTGTCGCGTTTTGCCCACAAAACAAACAAGTCAATTCATTTTACTGTATAAGCTATTTGAGACACCTCGAAGATGTGATAAGCCACTATATCAACGCGAGGATTATTATTATTGTAATAGCATGACAGTTGCCACATTATCTATTAAATTGGAAATTGCAGAGAAATGAAATAAAAAGGGAAAGGGAAAAGAGCAGAGAATTCGGATAGGAGTGCAGATCTCCAACATAGGCTGACTGGCCTCCTCAGAAATGAAGTCAATGATTTCTATATTGGTCTTTACAGCATGTGTTACTGTGATGGTGAAACACAAATGCTTCTCCTGCTGCATAGTTTACCAATTCTGTTCTTTCCACAGGCAGAGAAAGCTGAAGGCTTCATTAGTTTACCGGAGTTCATGATTGATAAAGCTTTAGAGTGTAAAAAGAAACAGTAAGTAATTCTGCAGTGCATTGCAATGACCAAATTATTTTTTTAAGCCATTATTACCCCAGGAAAAACGATCTGCCAATCGACTAACAGATAAATAGGCATGTGGAGTAAGGAAACTTGCCTAATATTTCACCCTGCCCGGGAATCAAACCCAGGTCTTCCCGCTTGTGAGGCGAGTGCTCTAACCACTACACGACAGGACTCCACAGACTGTGTTTAAAAGGTTTGAGCATTTTGACTGTTCAGTCTTCTAATGGCTCAATGAGCAATTGAGCTCAAACAGAATGGATTGACCAATTGAGCATTTTTTTAAAAAAAATGCTTCAAGGTTTGCTCATACATAACAGCAGTTGTGAGCTGGCGGTGGGCAATTCAGTTATTTTGACCTTCAGGTACAAAAAAGAAAAGCAAGCATCATTCTGTCACCTTTTCCTCACAATCTATTTTTTTCCTCTGAATCAAGTGCTATCAAGGCAAGCCACCCACAACTCAAGAGCTTCTACTTTGCTGCAGAGAGTGCCGATGACATGAACAAGTAAGTGCCAGTTAGCAAGTCAAGTGTTTGTAGGCGTGGTGGAACTTATGTGGGGTATTTTGATAGATGGTTCCTGAATGCGTCATTGTCTTTCAGTTTTTGTCCTGTCTCAGTTTCAGTCAAAATGTAGTTCCGATTAAGGCCAATATAGAATCATAGAATATTGCTGCTCAGAAGGAGGCCATTCGACCCATCGTGCCTGTGCCGGCTCTTTGGAAGAGTTAACCACTCCCCCACTTTTTCCCCATATCCTTGCAAATTTTTCCTCTTCAAGTACCTACCAATTCCCTTTTCAAAGTTGTTATTGAACCTGTTACCGGTACTTTTTTTAATGTATGATAACAATATGTGTGACAAATGTTGAGTAGGTGTGAGCATCATGACTTCATTAATGTTCCACAATAACATTAACTCTCATGGTATTAGTTTGGATTTAAAAAAAAAAGGATTTCAAGAAAGGCAACTACAATTGGGGAAGTAAATAGTCCAGGTTTACACTCCTCATGATCAAATGATCTTTGAAACAGTATCAGCTGCAATATCCCACCTCCTCCTATTCTCACTCTTCTGCCCCCCACCCCCATTCCCCGGGTTGAATATTCTGCCAACAAAGAAAAGCAGTAGGATTGTACAATTCAACAATAAATATAATCCTTACATTTGATATGGTGCCTTATCAAATCTTCCAGACGTCTCAAAGCATTTCACAGAATATACGATAAAGTGAATTGGACTACATATATTGTGGGTGAAACGTGGCAACCAATTGCACACAGCAGTGTCCCACAAACAGTCATTGATTGAAGTGACCGATTTATTATTTTTTTTGTAACCTGAATACACATGGATCCAAACCTTTTTAGGTCACTAAGGGTTTGATGGGCGATTGTTGTGACAGGTGCCTTTTTCAGTGTTGCATTAGGCCTGTTTCAATTATTAACAAAGTTGAGCTTTTGCTTGAAGCTATTGATGTAAATTTATTTAAATAGATTAAAGCTTGGTTAACCAAGGTACTTATTCAGGTTTTTTGGGGGGCAAAAATGCCTCATTTAATGCCTCTTCGCAGTGACTGGGCAAAGTTAGTTTGTTATTAAAGAAACAGGAGTCTGAAATTCCACCTATATTGTTTGCAATTTAAATAACACAGAATTTGCAAGATGGTCCAGCTTGCTCCACGTCCCTGCCCGTCCTGCCCCACCATCTGTGGTCAGGCCTTCAGCCCCTCTGCCCCCACCCTTCAGAACTCCATCCCACAAATCCCTTCGCCTCGCTCCCTCCCTTCCTCCTCTCAACTCCTTTTCGACCGTGCCTTTGGCCACCCTTCTACCCCTACCCTCCCTGCCCTCTACCCCTCCTGATCCCAACCACCAGCTCGGGTCCAAATCCCTGACTGTCCAGCGCCTTGGGACGACCTCTGTGTAAATGTAATTTATTGTCGTGGTCTTGTTGCCTTTGTAAGAACTGGTTACTCCAGGTATTAATTTAAGACTGAGTTTAAGAATTTTTCTAAAGCATTCCTGAATAAGTGAGAAAAAGCAAAGAATGAAGAGGTTGGACATGTACTTGCAGCGTCCAGTGCATTTAATAAGTGGATGTCAGATGGAGCAGAGGTGCTGCATATTGTAGCTTAGTGGTTAGAGCACTCGTGTTGCACGTGAGAGGAGATTCCCAGGCAGGGCGAAAAGTAAAGCAAGTTTCCTTACTCCACACACCTCTGTTCACCTAGCAGCAAGTAGAAACCCAGTTGTTAGTCAATTGGTGGTGAAGACGTGATAAAGCACTATATCAAATGCAAGGATTATTATTATTACTATTATTATTCTGGAGAAAGGTGCCAGGTGGGTTTGGTTGGTGGGGGGTGGGGGGGGGGGGGGGGGGGGGGGATCCTAGCTCTGTACATCTGGATGATTTATATTTTATTAACTTTGAAATTCTAAATTTAAACCTCATGTCAGACTTGGTGGTCATATTGATTGAATAGGACAAACCTTCCTGTGTTACTTTTTCAGGTGGATGAACAAGATGGGTTTGGCTGCAATTCAGTACATGCAGGAAAGCCCAAAGGCAGCCAAGCAAGAAGGTGTGTGTGCTGCATTATTGGAATGTAACAACAAATCTCATTTACATGGCACCTTTCATGTCGGGAGGATACCCCAAGGCTTTGGACAATCAGAGATTTGGACCCGAGCAGGGGATGAGATCAGGAGGGGTGGAGGGCAGGGAAGGTAAGGGTAGGACAGCAGGATTAGGAGGGTGGCCGAAGGCATGGTCGAAGAGGAGGGTCTTGAGACATGCCTTGAAGGAGGCAAGGGAGGGGGCGAGGCAAAGGAATTATGGGATGGAGTTCTGAAGGATGGGGGTGGAGAGGCTGAAGGCCTGACCGCCAATGGTGGGACGGGTCGGGCGGGGGACATGGAGCAGGCTGGAGCAGACAGGTTGTTATGGCATTAGCAGGGCACAAAGGTAGGAGGAGCAAGACTGTGGAGGGTCTTGAAGGTGAGGACGAGGATTTTGAACTGCATTTTTGAGAGTTCTCTCAGGTTTTTGGGGTATCTCTTGAATTTGCTTATTTTATACAAATAACGTTGGTGAACACATCCTTGCTTCAGAGTGTTGGAGTGAGAGTGAGCCAGAAGATATGGAGATTCCAGCTGATGTGCCTCCCCCACCACAGCCCACACAGTCGACAGAGACTCAGGTAAGTGGTCATGTTCAGCAGCTATAGATAAGTGTTGAGAATCTCAAAGGGTGAACACATTCAGTTTTAGTAAAATCATAGGATCTTACAACACAGAAGGAGGTCATTTGGCCCATCATGCCTGTTCCGGTTCTTTGAAAGAGTTACCAACTAGTCCCATTCCCCGCTCTTACCCCATAGCCCTGCATTTTTTTCCTTTGTAAATACCTATCCAATTTCCAATATATTCTGTGAAGCGCTTTGAGATGTCTAGAAGACATGGTAAGGTGTGATATCAAATGCAAGGATTATTATTATATTGTCTCATTGCCCCTCATTTTCCTGAAGCCAAGGCAGTGGTACAGTAGTGGAGACAATTGTAGTAATTGATCAATTAGTATCTTTTCCTGTTGAAATGTTGACCAGAGAGTGTATATTCTTTCTTTTACTCTAAACTACATTAGATATTTTGTGGAACAAAACTTCATGCTGCACCTACTACCTGGAAGCTAATTTTATATTGATTTGAAATTTCCAACCCTATATGAATCATGGATTATTTTTTAATGTTTCCACAAGTGAAACTCAATTTGTTCTATGTTTTTTCCCCCTATTCTTAATATGAAATACACTACATTTACTTTTAAAGCAGGGCTAACCTAGAAATGACCATGACATTAAGTGGTCAAGTATTTTAATTGCTTAAGATAAAAGTTACTGATCTCAGGTGTCCAAATAATTACTTATACAAGTGGAATCCTGTAGTTTAGAGATTGAAGCGCTCGCCTTGCAATGAGAGGACCTGGGTTTGGTTCCTGGGCAGGGTGAAACGTTGGCCACGTTTCCTTACTCCACATGCCTCTCCAAGTAGGAACCCGGTTGTAGTAATAATCTCTTTAATTTACAGTATATTCTGTGAAGCGCTTAGAGACATCTCGAAGGTGTGATAAGGCACCATATCAAATGCAAGGATTATTGTTATTATTGTTACAAATATATCCTCAAATTGCCTAACTGTATTTAATGGCACAGAGTACACTTGTGTTGTGTTATAGAATAAATGCGGGATCTGGTTTTGCTAACCATGTCGGCTCATTCTCCTCAGTCCCCATTCTGTTCATCACAATTGTCCAGCGAAGCATCGAGTTCCTATTCTTCATCAGAGAGCACCAGCAGATCTTCTGTATCTGCAATATCATCACCCAAATCATCTTATCAGGAAAGACAATCATGGCTTGACATCATTAATTCATCGCATGCTGAACTCGAGCACCAGTCCTTAACCTCCACTGTACAATCTAGTGTAGGATCTTCACAGGAGGAATCTTCACAGTGTGAAACAGCAATATCCCAACTGGAAAAGACTCTCTCTGGATCCCACGAGGATTTGGCTCCTGGAGAACTACAGCTCACTTCTAGCAGGGAAAAGATGGAGATAGAGGAACAGCCAACCATGCTGAGTACCTCGGAGAAAGGTGAGGAAACAGTTAAGTTACTTTATTCGTATCAGAGTGAAGTAGTTCCACAGAATAATTTCCTGAGGAACGGAAGTATTCAACTTGTCTAATGAGAAGCCAGGGCACTAAATTACTTTCACTGTGGTTATGAGCAGCTCCACACCATTGGATTTTATATTTTTGCTTGTAATCTTATTATCATTCGTAATAATAATCTTTATATTTGATATATCACCTATTAAATAGGGTCTCCTTAGAGCTGAACTGGCCCCAAGGTGATGTGCCTGGCAATGGAATGTGGGAATCGAGCCAGACCTCCTTGACGGTCTTTAGTCCGGTTCCTGAGCCAGGCCGGTCCGCAGTATTCCAGGGCACTGCTGATGACAGCACAGCCCACCCTGGCTCATCGGCAGCACTTGGAAGGGCAGACCAGTCACTGGGAGCAGGGAGTCATCCCACTCAGCTCCTGTAAACTCTCCAAACCAAAGCCCTAATGGGTAGTGGGTCCTAGCTGGACAAGCAGCGGGAACGCTGCGCCTAATACTTTCCGGAATTAGGTAAGCAGGATGCATCCCTCCAGGGAGAGAGAGCGCATTCCATTCCAGCAAAATCTATCTGGGGAATTTCCATGTGTAGCTGGGTTGCATGGAATTTTCAGCTTGGTTTGGATACTCTTAAGCATGGTGATGGGTTTCTGCAAGTATCAGACACCCGTCTGACTCAAAAAAAAAACGATAGTACCTTTCAAGTTAGGAGGACATCTCTAAAAGCTTATCAGTACATTTTGTAATGCGTGGTGACTACGTATTTTGCAGGCAAATGCTTTTGATTACGAATTTCTTACTGATGCATGAAGATTGTTACACTTCAATATGGATGTACACCTGAGCTCAGAAATACATTACAAAATTACATTTGTAAAGCGCCTTTCACTTCGGGTGGACATCCCAAGGTGCTGAACAGTCAGAGTGAATAGGACCCAATCAGGGGGAATGGGATCAGGGAAGGGGAAAGACGGGGAGAATAGGAGGGTAGCTGAAGGTATGGTCGAAGAGGAGGGTCTTGAGGTGTGCCCCAAAGGAGGCAAGGGAGGGAGCGAGGCAAAGGGAATGGAGTTCCAGAGGGTGGAGGCAGAGAGGCTGAAGGGCTGACCGCCAATGGTGTGGCAGGCCAGGCGGGGGACAATGAAGTAGGCTGAGCCGCGGGAGTAGACAGGTTGATAAGGGGTTAGCAGATCGGAGAGTTAGGAGGGGGCAAATATAATTACAGGACAAAAATATACACTGCGGATTTAATTTGTCATCTCAGATTACATTTTCCAATACAATCTACTTATTGTAACTCAATTATTATTATTATTGCTCAAACTGGCATGTGGTGGAATCTTAATCATAATAATAATCCTTGCATTTAATATAGCGCCTTATCACGTCTTCGAGACACCTGAAAGCGCTTCATAGGATATACTGTAAGGTGAATTGACTATATATTTTGTGGGCAATTGTGGGCGGCAGCAATTGCGCACAGCACAAGAAGGTTCATTATTGTGGATGCTGCGAAGGTAATGAATGTTTGGAGCAGAGAACAAAACAGCAAATACCGACCTTGGCCTGTGGACAAGTATTAATTTCAGGTCTTGGTAAGTACTGCCTGCTGGGTAGCCAAACCTAGCATTAAGCTGTTCAAAAGCAGCACAGTCATTTCACATGTTGGGATAATAGCTGAATGTTTTTTTTGTGTCAGATCCACAATTGTTGTGTCCCATATTTTACTTTTGCCCGAAGGTTTTGGTTTGTCTACAATAGCCAAAGCACAGTAAATGGAGCGTGTAATGTCCCTGTTGAATATTTTATTTCCACTCTGGCTTTCAGTGCACTATGGGTTTTCCACTTAACTTCATTCTTGAAAGTAATTCTGTATTTGTGTTAGACAGACTGACATGGAGTACCTTCTATTTACATATAGTAAGTCCACACCGATCGCCATCTGAGTGAGCTATTAAAAGATTGTGATAATAATAGTATAATGCTTCCATTTGATATAACGCTTTATCACGTCTTCGAGACATCTCAAAGCGCTTCACAGAAAGTGGATATTTTGTGGGAGAAACACAGCAGCCAATTGCGCACAGCAGTATCCCACAAGTAGTCGTGGATTGAGTGACCAAATTATTTTTAATAGCATGAAGCAGAATTCTGTACTGCCAATTTATTTTCTGCACAAATTGTATTACTACCACAACAAGTCTTAAGGTGTCAACCACCTTAAGATCTTAATAATAACTCCCTTCTCTTTTCGAATAGCGGCATATAGGTCTTTTAACATCCAACTGACAGGCAAATGGGCCCCCCAATAATCCAAGCACTGCATTGGAGTACTGTAGGATCTTTAACCTCCACGTTAATAGATAAACGGGACCTCTCAGTTTAACATCTTACCTAAAGGACAACGTGGGGAGGCCGTCCCGAGGCACTGGACAGTCAGGGAATTGAATACGAGCAGGGGGTTAGGATCAGGAGGGTTAGAGGGTAGAGGTAGAAGGGTGGTCAAAGGCGTGGTCGAAGAGAAGGGTCTTGATATGTGCCTTGAAGGAGGCAAGGGAGGGAGCAAGGCAAAGGGACTGTGGGATGAAGTTCCAAAGGTGGGGCAGAGAGGCTGAAGGCCTGACCGCCGATGGTGGGGTGGGCCAGGCTGGGGACGTGGAGCAGGCCAGAGCTTGCTGAGGGGAGGGAGCAGACAGGTCGATATGGCATTAGCAGATCACAGAGGTAGGAAGGATCACGGCTGTGGAGGACTTTGAAGGCGAAGGCTTTAAAGCCCTCCACAAAGGCTTTAAAGTAGAACACCTCTGACAATGCAGCAATTCTGCCAACATTCAGAGTAAAAGTGCTACCAACTGAGCCAGGTTGGCGCCTCAGATCTGCAATGATAGTGATAATAATTAATATGATCAAGATTTTTAAAATAATAAAAGGATTCGATAGGGTAGACACAGAGAAACGTTTTCATCTGTTGGAGGAATCCAGAACAAGGGGCATCATTTTAAAATTAGAGCCAGGCCATTTAGGAGTGAAATCAAGAGGCAGTTTTTCACCCAAAGGGTAGTGGAAATCTGAAACTCTCTCCCCCAAAAGGCTGTGGATGCTGAATCCATTCACATTTTCAAGACTGAGGTGGATAGATATTTGTTAGGTCAGGGAATCAGGGGATATGGGGCAAGAGTCCTGTAGCTCAATGGTTAGAGCACTCGCTTTGCAAGTGAGAGACCTGAGTTCAATTCCAGGCAGAGGGCGAAACCTTAGGCAAGTTTCCTTACTCCACACAGAGCCTAATAATAATCCCTCCAAAAACAATAAATAATTGGTCATTTTCAATCTACGACTGTTTGTGGGACATTGCTGTGCGCAATTGGCTGCTGCGTTCGCCCACAAATATACAGTCAATTCACTTTACAGTGTGTTCTGTGAAGCGCTTTGGAACGTCCTCCCGACGTGAAAAGCGCTATATCAAATGCAAGGATTATTATTATTATTTATTATTAAGAGCGGGTAATTGGACTTAAGGTATAGATCAGCCATGATCTTATAGAATGGCGAAACAGGCTCGAAGAGCAAATGGCCTATTCCTGTCCCTATGTATCTAAGGGCACAGCTGCCATGAACACCAAAACCACAGTATAAATGTGTCATTAATAGTACCAAAATGTGCACAATCAGTAGAGGGGGGTCCATCTGGCCAGCCCCCAAAATAATCTTTTTAAAATACTTTAGTACAACTCTCACACCTCAGTCAGTTTCTTTGGCAAATACCTGGTTGTAACACAGTTGTAAGGATCCATAAAATCGTAGCCCACTCTATAATGAAGTTGAGAGCGAGTTTCACTGCACAAAGTGACTGGCAAGTCTACTTGCTATTTTCTACAATTTAAACAGGTGAGTCAAAGATTGACAACAGAGATGCTTCCTGTAATGGAGTCCTGTAGCTCAGTGGTTAGAGTGCTCGCCTCACAAGGCGAGAGGACGTGGATTCCCGGACAGGGAGAAACTTTGCCCAAGTTTCCTTACGCCAAACACCTCTGTTTACTTAGCAGTATGAACCCGGTTTCAGTCAATTGGCAGATTGCTTTTTCGGGGATAATAATCCCTTAAAAAAAATAACAATAGTTTGGTCACTCAATCCACAATTGTTTGTGGGACACTGCTGTGCGCAATTGACTGTCAGGTTTCGGCTACAAAATATACAGTCAATTCACGTTACACTATATTCTGTGAAGCGCTTTGAGACGTCTCAAAGACAGGATCAGGCGGTTTATCAAATGGAAGTATTATTATCATTGTTGTTCCTGTGTGGTATATGCATAATGCAGGAAATTGTTGATGACCTGGTTACCAAGAAGTTGGCTATTTTTAGCGGCAGGTAGCTGTTAGAAATCAAATCATTACACTGACTGCTCTGAAGCCTGGGTTTGCTCTGGGTTTCCACTTGTGTCAGATGCTCAGCGGTTCAAAACAGAAAGCACCATGACGGGTTTCTGTGTATGACTGAACCAAAGTTTCATGTATGAAATTTACGGGTTGAAATTTCCCTGACCTTGTTTTCAGCATAGAAATAGGCAATCAGTAACTCAGCCCATTGTCTACACTGTGTTAACATCCCCACTAAAAATATCTATTCCAATTTATTTCCCCATAACCTCTCATTCTTTCCAATTCCCCTTCAAGTGTAGTGCTGAACAGAGTTGGTGGGCCATTGTGTGTGTGAAAAAGAGAAGGCAATTTTATTGTTGGAGACTGAGATTAATGAGAAACAGATTGCTATTAGAAAGTAATTGAGCAACTTCAGATTAGACTCAAAGTATTGAACCCAGATAATTATTTAGGTAGTCAAAGAAGTGGTGTGAAGAAAACTGGATGAAGTTCATGAATAATGAGACTGGTTTGGGGGATTATTTGGGTTATTTCAACCAATATGACGCTATCAAATTGTACCAAATACAGGCTGACTATTCTCTTCAACCATGCCTTCTGCTCCCCTCTCGACTCTCTGCCCCCTCCTTGCTCCCTCTCTTCGCTCCCCTCACCCTGACCATTTCCTCCCTGCTCGGGTCCCTTGGGACGTCCTTTGCAGCGCCTTGGGATGTCCTCCTGACGTGAAAGGCGCTTTATAAATGGAATCTTGTTGTTGTTGTTGTCCCGACCCAACTGTCCAGCGCCTTGGGACATCCTCCCGACGTGAAAGGCGCTCTATAAATGCAATTTTGTTGTTGTTGTTGTATTGTATGCCTATGCTGGTTCAGGAAGGGGAACTGGGGAGATCAAATGGAAAATGAAACAGGTTAACGCAGAACTAAGGTAAAACATGTTATTGGAAATATATTGAGTAACCAGCAGGAGGCGTGGAAGTAGATGTGTCAGTATTGTTGAATGGCCAAAGTGTATGATGACTGTTTTATACATTCATATATTCGTCATTCACTTCATGGCTATTTGTGGGACATTGCCACGCAAACATTTGCCTGCTGTGCTCGCTGCACTTTACAATAAATCTTGTGAAGCACTTCGAGATGTCTCCCGACATGAAAGGTGGTATATCAAATGTAAGGATTATATCATTATAATTGCCACATTAGCCTATGGGTGGAGTCCTGTAGCTCAGTGGTTAGAGCACTCGCCTCGCAAGCGAGAGGACCTGTGTTCGATTCCTGAGCAGGGTGAAATGTTGGGCAAATTTCCTTACTCCTTATTTCCTTACGCCTCCGTGTATCAAGCAGTGAGTAGGAACCTGGTTGTTAGTCGATTGGCAGATTACTTTTCCGGGGATAATAATGCCTTCAAAAAAAAATCAAAAATTAATAATCATTTGTTTACTCAATCCATGACTGTTTGCGGGGCACTGATGTAGTGCCTTATCACATCTTAAAGACGTCTCAAAGTGCTTCACAGAATATACTGTAAAGTGATTTGACTGTATGTGGGACTATGTGAGAGAAACACAGCAGCCAATTGTGCACAGCAATTATAGTAATAATCCCTTAAAAAAAATAATAATAATAGTTTGGTCACTCAATCTATGACTGTTTGTGGAACAATTGCTGTGCACAATTGGCTGCCGGATTTTGCCCACAAAATATATAATCAATTCACTTTACAGTGTATTCTGTGAAGTGCTTTGAGATGTCTAGAAGATGTGAAAAGCGCTTTAACAAATGCAAGGATTATTATAATTATTGCTCAATGTTTCACCCTGACCGGGTTCTCTCGCTTGCGAGGAGAGTGGTCTAACCACTAAACTACAGGACTCCACTGATCATTCTTTCCCATGGTATTTAAGTTAGAAGGAGAAATTGCTCATGACAAGCGAACTTGAAAAATACTGCTAGCCATGGGAAACGCATAACAATTGGTCTTTGTATAGAGTAAAAATAGTTTTCAAAATGAAGAGGCCTTTTAACACTTTGGAATTACTAACACGACTTCTGCAACATTCAAGACAGTCCTTTTTTGTTGCAAACGATCAGAAAACTTGACTTATAATGTTAAGTGCAATATTGAGAAAATATAAGGAATATATAGTACCAGTTGAACTAAAAAGAATAAAATAGACAATGATCTACTTTAAGAAATATTAAAGAACAGTGAGCTATACGCTCTCGGATTAACTCTGATTTGCTTAAGTGAAATCTTTGTGTGTGTTGACTTTGGCTTACAGAGTTGACTCTGTTTAAAAATGTTCAGCCTATGGTTTAGGAATTTATTTGGATGCATCACAAGAATAGAACAAGCCCTTTGGCATTATTTGATCGCGCCACAAATCACACCCAGCCATCTTCCTATTACAGGCCTAAGCTTGTTCTTCAATATGCCAGTGTCATTACCTCAACCCCTCGACTAACCTCCTGATATCTGTTACAGCCATTTATTGTTGATATCAACTCACCCCCATCCAGCCTGATCCATTTACGCTACATAAATGAAAGGCGCCATATAAATATAAACCACAGCGTACTAAATTACCTCCTGATCTCTGTCCTAAACTTGCCCTCACAAGGAGAAAGTATTGAATCATCAATAATCTCTTCTCATGTAAACTTGTGAGCTACACTGTGAGCCAATGTATCAATACCTATGTGTAAAGGCATTCCATTAAATGCCTTTAAACATACCAATCTATTATTAGTACTTTTTTTCAGGAATTATTACAACAACAAAATTGCATTTATATAGCGCCTTTTATATCGGGAGAACTCCACATCCTGCAGTTTAGTGGTTAGAGCACTCGCCTGGCAAGCGAGGGGACCTGGATCCGATTCCCAGGTGGGGTGAAACCTTAGGCAAGTTTCCTTACTCCACATCCTCTGTTTGTGGGGTAGCGTCCCAGAGCGTTTGATAATGGTGGAGTTTGCCACTGAGCCGGGGGGAGAGGGAGTGGGGAGGTGACCGTAAGCACGATCAAAAAGGAAGGTCTTTAAATAGGATTTGAAGGTGCGGGAGGGAACAAGTCGGAGGGATTTAGGGAGAGAGAATTCCAGAGTTTTGAAATGTAGTAGCTGAAGGCATTGCCACCGATGGTGGAGCGGAGGGGACAAGGATCAAACAGGAGGCCAGAGCCAGCCAAACGGAGACAGCAGGTGGTAGAGTCAAGGGTAAGCAGGTTAGAGTTGGTAGGGAGGTGCAAGGGCATGAAGGGAAAGGAACTATGGCTCCCTGTTACGCTATCCTTGATCATGATTTGTTTTAACTAGCCCTGGCTGAACTTTGCTTATCTCTCTGTATTTCCAATTTATCCCTACTTCCCTCCCCATCCCCACCCCCCACCCCTAAAATGGCTCGTGTGTGCTTCACAAAGCTCTGCATATTATCTCCTACTCTACTAAACCTTCACCAAGGGCAAGATTTGATCTCTAAACCTCAAATTGCATTTAGGGTATTGGTTGCACAGAATAACTTGAAGCAAGTAGTCATCTGAATGCTGAGATAACATTGTTCTGTATTTATTTTAAGTGTATATACTGTGGAGTTGAGGCAGGGCTTTTTAACCACTGTTTTAGCATGAACCCCCAAACCATGATGCTGTTTGTAATGGATGTGCTGAAGACTTGTGCATTGTAATATACAGCTTTTTGTCGGAAAAGTCATCGTTTACAATAATGAATACCTTGGATTAATATCAAAGCAATAACGTAGCCAGCATTCAGATTATAGAGAACATAAAATGGGTATTGTGTTTGGGGGAAGCGGTAGGAAGATGGATAAAGGCTTTGTTTATAAAGTTTCTGGAGTCCTGTATCTGGTTAGAGCGATTGCTTCACAAGTGAGAGGACCGGGATTTGATTCCTGGGCAGGGTAACACTTTGGGCAAGGTTCCTTACTCTACATGCTCCTGTTTACCTAGCAATTAGTAGGAACCCGGTTGTTAGTCAATTGGCAAATCGCTTTTCCAGGGGTAATAATCCCTTATAAAAAATTGGAAAAAATAATAATTTGGTCACTCAGTCTATGACTGTTTGTGGTACACTGCTGTGCGCATTTGGCTGTCGCGTTTCACCCACAAAATATACAGTCAATTCATGTTATAGTGTATTCTGTGAAGTACTTTAAGCTGAATCGAAGACACGATAAGGCACTATATAAACATGCAAGGATTATTATCATTATTATTATTAAATCCTGTGAAGTGGTTTGAGATGTTTCACAGTGATTAGGCTCAATAACAATTGGAAGGGTTATGATGTATTGGAGTCTGTTCTTGGGCAGAATCGTCTTTTTTCCATTATGCTGGTGGCTTTGTGACTGATTACCAAACACCACAGATGTCTCGTGATACAGTACTTTGGCAGATGACAGGCTGTGCATTTCCTGGTATCTCCATTGATAAAGCAGTCTGAAACCTCTCCAGTGTGTTGTTGGTCTCTAACATAGGGGCACATGTGGCCTGTTAACAGCTCCTCAGCCTCAGGATGAATGGGGTTAATGTCCAATATTCACTTTACAGTATATCCAGTGAAGCGCTTTGAGATATCTCAAAGATTTAATCAGGCACTACATCAAATGCAAGGAATATTAAAATAGCGCATCTCAGTCCAGACGAATTGCAGGATAGAATTTGGTCCAGATAAAAAGCAGGATTATGTGAATCACTCATCGTGCACAAAAACACAAGCTCACAGAGTGCTTCTTCTGTGTAGTTGTATAAAATGCAGCTGTATTTAACTGAAATGAATATTCAACAAACAACAACAACTTGCATTTATAAAGCACCCTTCACACGGAGTAGTGTCCCTGAACTCTTGACATTGGTGGAGTCTGACTCCGAGCCAGGGGGAGAGGAAGTGGGGAGGTAACCGTATGTACAATCAAAATTGAATGACTTTAGGTGGGATTTGAAAGTGGGGAGGGAAGGGACAAGGCGGATTGAGAGAGAGTTCCAGAGTTTTGTGGCATAGTGGCTAAAGGCACGGCCCCTGATGGTGGAGCGGAGGGGGCAAGGGACAGATAGGAGGCCAGAGCCAGCAGCCGAACAGAGGCAGTGGGTGGGGGAGTGGGGGGGTAAGCAGCTAAGCAGGTTGGAGAAGTAGGGAGGTGCGAGGGCAAAAAGGGATTTGAAACGTGTGAGAGGATCTTGAAATCGATCTGTCCGTAATTGGAAGCCAGGGGAGCTTGGCAAGTTAGCCAGGAGAGGAAAAGTAATTAAACAGAAATAGAAAAACAGTCTGAGAGCACTGGCAGGACATATTTCATTCGTTGTATTGCTCGGGAGATATTACGTACTTCCAACAGTATAAAGTGCACGGATTTAAACATTTGACTTTTTTTTTATCCTCAAGAACAACCACAGAGTTCTGATGAAATGGAGCAACTGTACAAGTCTTTAGAACAAGCCAGTCTTTCACCCATTGGGCAGCACAGACCATCCTCGAAACGGGACTACAGGAAATCCTTCATAAAACGCAGCAAGAATCCTATCGTCAATGATAGGTTACACAAATTCCGAGCTTTAAACAGTACATTAAAGGTATGTGAATAGATTCTTTGTCTTGTGCCAATGGAACTAGTAAGCTGTAAGATTTTTTTTTGCTCAGCCGGATGTCTGACACCTACTGGAAACCCATCACCGTGCTTAAGAGTATCCAAACCAAGCTGAGATTTCCATGTATCCCACCTACACATGGAAATCCCAGAGATAGATTGTTGGAATCGAATGCACACTCTCTCCCTGGAGGGACACATCTTGTTTACCTAATTCCGGAAAGTATTGGTGGGGACCCCAGAGTGTGCATTGGGGTAACTGCTAGAGTCTAACCAGCTAAAACCACATAGCTTGCCACTGATAAGCTTTAAGCTCCTTTCCCAATACTTCGTACTAGGTCATGTAATTCAATGTGTGAGACAGAGGAAGGAAAGAGGAAGACTGCTGGAACTTTGAAACTAAAAGGCCTATTGTTAAAAATGAATGGTTTATCTGCTATTGCTTGTGACTTGAACCAGATTTGTGCAATGAAAAACCATAATGCTGTTCCCCCAATGATTGGTTCTGGGTAGAGATGTTGTTAAAGACATCGCCTAATGTAAACCTGAACCACACAGACCAGGAAGATGCTGAACTTGATTTGTGGTTGATGGGAAGTTAATAATCCTTCCATTTGAAATAGAGCTTTATCACATCTTTCAGACATCTCAAAGAGCTTCACAAAATGGACTGTAAAGTGAATTGACTGTATATTTTGTGGGTGAAACGCAGTAGCCAATTGCGTACAGCAGTGTCCTACAAACAGTTATGAATTGAGTGACCACCTTTTTTTAAAGGGATTATTACCTCCGGAAAAGCGTTTTTGCCATGTCCAGGAATCAAACTCCCCACTCAGCTCGCCCCACCATCGGCGATCGGGCCTTCAGCCTCCTGCCCCCACCCTTTAGAACTCCATCGCCTCGCCCCCTCCCTTGCCTCCTTCAAGATATGCCTCAAGACCCTCCTCTTTGACCGTGCCTTCGGCCACCCTCCTACCCCTACCTTCAACCCATCCTGATCCCAACCTCCAGCTCGGTTCCAAATCCTTGACTGTTCCAAACGCCTTGGAACTTCCTTCCGGCATGAAAGGCGCTGTGTAAATATAATTTGTTGGTGGTATTACCGGCCAACTGCATTGAATCACGAGAAAAATAGTCTTACTCATTGCTGCATGTGCAGAAGAACTTCATTTCCCACGATTCAGTGAAGTTGCAAGTGCACTAAACAGCTGAATGAGGAACTACTGCATGTGCACTTACTGACTGCATTGAATTATGCATGCACAGTGCAGATAGAAACATAGGAACAGAAATAGGCCATTCAGCCCCTCAAACCTGTTCCTCAATTCTATACGATCGTCGCTGATCTGTACATCAACTCCAATTACCTGCCCTTGCCCAGTGTCCCTTGATACCCTGACCTAACAAATATCAGTATTTTGATTAAATTGGATATTATACAATTTATACAAGTTTGACTATAACTTGTACTTCACGTAAGTCATATTAAAGGTTATGGCCTGGACTGATGTGACTTGTGTGAGTTTTACTGTATTCAAAAAGAGAAAAGAGTTTCTCCTGGTGTCCTGGCTAACATGCCCACAATATTAAAAAAAAGGATTGCTAACCAATTTGTGGCTGGTTGTGGCTCATGGCTTTTTTGTGTGGATATCGCTGTTGCATTTGCCCAGAAAACAGTTACTACACTTTACTGTGCAGTGAAGCTTTGAAACATTCTTCCTGATGTGAGAGGCGCTATACCAAATGTATTATTACAAATATAATGCATAAATGATTGATCTAGCAGTAAGTTATTTCATTCAAGACTGAAAGAGAAAGTTGTTTGCGCCTGTGGAGTTCTTCTGTCTGATATTTCTTTCCCCCAACTCCCATCTTCCATCCCCTTTTCTCTCTCCTCCATTGAACAGTCAAAACAGGCGGACCTCGCTGTAATAGACCAATTGCTGGAGGATACACAGTTCACAGCGGAGAAGTTCAGGCAGTGGAAGCAGGACTACTCATTGCTGTTGCAGGATATCTGCAAGGTTTACCGTCCAGAGACCTGTTCAGAAGAGAATGCAAGCGCATCAGAGACTCTGAACTCATCCCATCTCGAAACAGATGTCTGAAGCACTGAGAGGAACTTCACCTAAATGTTACCCTTCCACTGCTTTGGTCCATCTTTGAGTACTGGAGGACCACCAGTGGGCCAACACTGGCTTGACTGATGGACAGTCATTGTTATATTTATAAGTAGACATGTAAAGTGGATATCTGCCTACAGTGTAGGGTTCGGGATGCTATTTAACCTGTAAACAACACACAGACACTACTGCACTGACAATAATGGATTGTCATTGTGCTATTTGAAGGAATATAAGATTCAAGGCACAAGTCTGTGAGGGTGTTACTCATGCTGGAACAGCACTTCACAAGTTACAAAATTCTATTATTTCTACCGTCAGCATTGGGCCTGGCATGATTCGAGAGCACAGAACATTTGAAAGGTATTCCCACGTGTCAGTAATTTGATACTCATCAGTGTAAAATACCACTTTCAGGGATTAGAGAAAGTACCAACCCATTTCTCCTACAATAAATCTGAATTGCATCGAAACGTCATATTTTAAACACGTTCAATTCCTGCCTGAACTGATCAAAGTGCTTGTATATCCGTATTATAAAATGTACCTGAGATCTTATGTTTACAGGTCTTGCATTTTACTAATCAAATTTAAGTAATAAAGCGCAAATAAACACTGAGGATGTCTTTTGCCCTGTGTGAGGCTCATATGGCCTTCAGCAGGAAAGATAATTGGTAGATAATTACGCCATGTCTTTATTAATCACTTTACTTAAATATTTCCTGCATTAATTCACAGTCTTGAGATAACATCTCCTCTTTGACCCGTGCTGAAAATTGAACCATAGATTAATTAATTAATAATCTTTAATAATAATAATAATAATCCTTGCATTTGATATAGCGTCTTTCACGTCGGGAGGACGTCCTAAAGCGCTTCACAGAACACACTGTGAAGTGAATTGACTGTATATTTGTGGGCGAACGCGGCAGCCAATTGCGCACAGCAATGTCCCACAAACAGTCGTAGATTGAAAATGACCAATTTATTATTGTTTTTGGTTTTGGAGGGATTATTATTAGGCGTACCAACTTTCCTCTGTAGTTCTTGCATTCATTTTTGTTTCGGAGTGAAATGACTATTATTTTCAGAACTTGTGGCAGAACTGAAAGGCGAATGAGCGTTTCTTGTTTCTCTCTCTCTCTCAACATCTTGCTCTGTACCTTTTGATATTAGTTTAAACTCAAAAGGACTGAAAGATCATTGAGTATGAGGTTATGGTAATGAATTTTGAATGTTTGATGAATAGTGCCCTCTGGTACCCAATTGCTAGAATGACAGGCTCAATAATAATAATAATCCTTGCATTTGATATAGCACCTTATCACATCTTCAAGATGTCTCAAAGCTCTTCACAGAATATATTATCAAGTATATTTTATGGACGAAACACAGCAGCCAATTGCACACAGCAGCGTCCCACAAATCGTCTTGGATTGAGTGACCAAACTATTACTTTTTTAAAGGGATTATATTCCCTGGAAAAGCGATCCGTCAATCGACTAACAACTGGGTTCCTACTTGCTGCTAAGTAAACAGAGACATGTGGAGCAAGGAAGATTGCCTAATGTTTCACCCTGCTTGGGAATCAAACCCAGGTCCTTCTGTTTCCGAGTCAAGACGTCTCGAAGATATGATAAGGTGCTATATCAAACGCAAGGGTTATTATTTTTATTATATTTTAAAAAAGCAACCATTTGCATTTGATACCAGAGGATACCTGGGTATCTTTACCCCAGCAGAATGTGATATCTTCAGAAGACGAAGGAATAATCAAGTCAAATCTTCAACCGGTGTAGGGGAATCTATCACGCACAATGGTAAAACAACAGTAAGGAAATAAATTAAAAACAAATGCACCTTTGATAAAACCAGTGATTCTTATGTTACAGCTTCCTAGACTGGCGTTACCTCTGCCCTCCAGGGTGATGAGTGTTTGTTTGGTCAGCGTGAAGTTCCCATGAGTTGGCATAACAATCTTCAGTTTACCTTATTAAGGAATCCCATTAGACGCTGCTGTATGTAAACATTCGATTCAATTACTTAACATAACTTAACCAACCACCTACATTTCATCTTGGCAAATGGTTTCCCCTACCACCCCCGTCCGGTCACCTGTGGGGTACCCCAGGGCCCCATCCTTCGCTACATGTATGCGGATGACACACAAATCTACTTTGCCTCCTCCAGCATCAACTCCAGGTTTGCCAATTTCTATCAGCTTGTCTGGCAGATATCAGGGCCTGGATGAATGCAAACTTCCTGCAGCTGAATGTGGACAAGATGGAAGCCATACTCCTTGGTTTCCGTCAACATCTTCACTCCTGTGGGTCTGAACTCCTCAACCTCCCTGAGCTCTCCATCACACTCACCGAACCAGTGAATCTAGGTGTCCGGTTTGACCCCCAACTATCCTTCCTCCCCTACGTCGCTGTCCAGGACTGCCTTCTTCCACCTCCCCCACATTCCCTGCCTCCAACCGTACCTTACCTTAAATGCAGCAAAAACCCTCGTACGTGTTTACAACAACAACAACAACAAGATTCCATTTATAGAGCATCTTTCACGTCGGGAGGACGTCCCAAGGCGCTTTACAGTTGGGTCAGGACCCGAGCAGGGGGGAAATGGTCAGGGTGAGGGGAGGGAAGGGAGGGAGCAAGGAGGGGGTAGAGAGTCGAGAGGGGAGCTGAAGGCACGGTCAAAGAGAAAGGTCTTGAGACCGGCCTTGAAGGAGGAAAGGAAGGAGGCGGCGAAGGCACTGGGGGATGGAGTTCCAGAGCCTCGGGGCTGAGAGGCTGAAGGCCCGGCCACCGATGGTAGGGCGGTTGGGGCGGGGGATGTGGAGCAGACCGGAGCCAGAGGAACGGAGGGTACGGGCGGGTAGGTCGGGGATAGTAGGTCGGAGAGGTAGGAGGGAGCGAGGCCGTGAATGGCCTTGTAGGTGAGGATGAGGATCTTGAATTCGATCCTCTGGGGGATGGGGAGCCAGTGGAGGCGAGCGAGGGTGAGGGTGATGTGGTCGCGGTGTCTGGTGCGGGACAGTACACGAGCTGCAGAGTTCTGAATGACCTGCAGTGTGGAGGGAGGTGGCGGGAAGGCCGGCGAGGAGAGAGTTCCCATAGTCCAGCCTTGAGATGATAAAGGCGTGGACCAGAGTTTCAGCAGCATGAGGGGTGAGGTAGTGCAGTCGTCTGGCGACATTCCGGAGGTGATGGAAGGCGGTGCCAGTTGTGGCGCGGATATGAGGGAGAAAGGACAGCTCAGGGTCGAACAAAACGCCGAGGTTCCTGACTGGCTTTGAGAGGTGGAGAGTGCAGCCTTGGATGCTGATGGTGTCAGCGCCTGAGGTGCGGAGGCGCTGACGTGAGCCAATCAGGAGGGCCTCGGTTTTACGCACATTGAGCTGAAGAAAGTTGTCTCTCGTCCAGGACTCGATGTCAGACAGGCAGCTGTCAGGACATCGGTGGTCGTGGAGTTGAGGGTAGAGGAGGAAAGGTAGAGGAAGTCCCAAGGTGCTGGACAGTCAGGGATTTGAATCCGTGCGATGCAGTGCTTCTCCCAGCATTGCACATGTCAGCCTCGACTGTGAGTTCAGGCTACTGCACCTCACCATTTGCACAGTTATACGGGCTCTCAATTTTTAGTAAATCTGGTGAGAATGCAAATTGCTCAGGTACAAGAGTTGAAACAAACAGATACAAATGCCAGGCTGTGCCAGATGTGACTGAGCTGTCAACTTTTATCTAATTTATGTTGGAAGCTTTTTGGCTGTCTTTGTAACATCTATCTCCTGCAGTCGACTACGGGGCTTTTGGGAGAATTACACACATCTCCATCTGTCTAAGCCATTCACTTGATAAGCTTTCACCTTAACAACATTGAGGTACTTTTGACATTTCAGCAAATATGACAAGTGATTCACTTTACAATCTATCCATTAAAAAGTAACCAATGTTTGGATGCTGATTGAAGGAGTAAACATGCAGCTGGCAGTATATCCCACCCACTGCCACTTGATGGTCAACTGAAGGTCAAGCCCCAAGGTTCATATAATGCCTTTGTTTATAAAAAAAATTGTGGGGGGGGTCTGACACATGTATCCGAACCAAGCTGAGAATTCAATACATCCCACCTACACATGGAAATCACAGAAATAATTGTTGGAATGGAATGCGCACTCTCTCCCTGGAGGGACACATCCTGTTTACCTAATTCCAGAAAGTATTAGGCACAGGTTGGCAAGAGCCAAGGCTTGGGGACCCCAGAGTGTGTGTTGGGTTCATTGCTGGAGTCTAACCAACTAAAACCACATAGCTTGCCACTGATAGTGCTGTCTGACAAGCTTTCCCGCTGGTCGTCCAGTGGGGACCAGCCTACCCATTGGGGCTTTGTCTTGCAAGGTTAACAGGAGTTGAGTGAGATGACTCCCGGCCCCCAGTGACTGGTCTGCCTTTTCAGGTAGTGCCGATGTGCTTGCTGTGCTGTCATCAACAGTGCCCTGTAATTCTGCGGCCAGACCCGGCTCAGGAACCGGTTTACCGAGACCGCCGCAGAGAGCTGGCTCGACTCCAATAATAATAATAATCCTTGCATTTGATATAACGCTTTTCACGTCTTCTAGATGTCCCAAAGCGCTTCACAGAATATACTGTAAAGTGAATCGACTGTATATTTGTGAGCGAACGCGGCAGCCAATTGCGCACAGCAGCAACGTTCCATTGCCAGGTGTAAATGAGTCTATGCATTGAGTACTTGCCAAATCAATGAAAGAGGAAACTTCAACTTGCATTTTGGTACCTCGTCAAAACATTGCACATACTTCACAGGTAATCAGTGCAGACAAACCTGCCAGCCATTTATTACCAGCACAATGGCCATAAGGTGATGATAAATTAATGTGGGGATTGATGACCTGTACTGGGCCAAAGTTGTAGAATCAAAGCCTTCTGCATAAATAACTGGTTTGGTTTTATTGTTTGGCTCTGGTTGGGAAATATTAGCCTTCAAGTAAAACAGAATATACACAAGCTATGTGTCCAATGAAAGAGAAAAACAAAAGTAACATGCATTTATATAGCTCCTCCTAGAGATTGGATTAGGCACTTCACCTTGCGCTCCAAGATGCTACCCCATGTCACTTCGAAACTAATTGAGCATTTGTAGAACTGCATGACGGAGAATGTATCAATTTGATAATTATTAATAATCCTTGCATTTGATATAGCGCCTCATCACGTCTTCGAGATAATAATAATAATAATCCTTGCATTTGATATTGCGCTTTTCACGTCAGGAGGACGTCCCAAAGCGCTTCACAGAACACACTGTAAAGTGAATTGACTGTATATTTGTGGGCGAACGCGGCAGCCAATTGCGCACAGCAGTGTCCCACAAACAGTCCTGGACTGAGTGACCAAATCATTATTCTTTAAAAAAAATCTAAGAGTGATTGACTGACAATGCAATGGAATGGTTCAGGACTGTACTGTGAGGGGGATTTATTATTGTTGTTGTTAGTCGCAGCTCAGTAGTTAGAGCACTCGCCTCACAAGCGAGAGGACCTGGGTTCGATTCCCAGACAGGGTGAAACGTTGGACAGCTTTCCTCACTCCACACACA